ATTGGGACCTCAAGGACTATATCCTAATTTTAAGGGGGAACAAAAAATAGATGCTATTTGAATTTTTGCAATCCCTAAAACTGGACTAAGGTGACCCTGGGATTCCTAGCAAAGCTAGCCACTACCCAGAGCAAATCTAAGTGTTCTCTGGACTGACCTTTCAAGTTATTTTTTATAATTTTTCATATTTAATATTGGACAATCTAAAGCACCTGAGGAGGTAAGACAACATGATCAAAGCCCAAGAGAAATGATAGATAATATGAACAGACCCACAGGGCATCCAGATAATGAGTTTTTAAACACAGGCTTGGTAATTACGATGTTTGGTACAAAGACAGAAAACACAAGACTCAAAGTTTCTGCAGAAAATTAGAAATGATACAGAAGAACTGACAAGTCCCAAACTGAAAAATACATTAATCAAGTTTAAGAACTCCATGAATATATTTGATAGAAACTGGACACACCTAAAGTACGAATTAGTGAACTAGAAGTTAGGTCAGAAGTGAACATTGGCTTGGCCAAAAAGTTTGTTTTGTTTTTTCCAAACAATGGCTCTAGTAGTGCTTAGTTGTCTTTAACTTCATTCAAAACAATTTTGTTAGATTGTATTGTGACAACTGTCATATCAGTGTGCATTTTTAAACAAAAATTGGTGAATTTTTGTGTAACCATTTTACCATTGAAGATGAAAGATACATGCAGCATTTTGGGCATACCATGCTTTATTGATTCAAGAAAGGTAAAAACACAACTGAAACGCCAAAAACAATTTGTGCAATTTATGGAGAATGTGCTGTGACTGATTGACCATGTCATAAGTGGTTTGTGAAGTTTCTCGGTACCATTGACACTTCGGCCCAATAATCCTTTGCTGTGGGGCTGGCTTATGCACTGGAAGATGTTTAGCAGCACCCCTAACCTCTCCCTACTAGAAGCCAATAGCAAGTAATAGCTGACATACTCAAAATATCCAAATCAATAAAGTTATTGGTGAAAATGGAAAATGTATCTTTTATGGAAAAAACTAAATGGACTTTTTGGCCAACTCAATATCTGATATGAAAAATGACACAAAATAATGGAAAATACAGTGAGAAGATTAAGAGACATAGGGTTGCCATGAGATTTGACATACAAGTCACTGGAATTCCAGGAGAGGAGAATCTAGCCAGGCCAACATTTTAGGAGATAATGACTTGAGAATTTATCATATTAAGAGCCATCAATCTCTGCAAGACCAAAGCACAATAAATAAAACCACACCCCAGCACATCATAAGGAAAAAATATATGAAAAGGAAATCATAAAAGCAGCCAGAAGGACATAACAGACATTGCTATCAAAGGAAGAGCAATATTAGCAAACTGACAACTAACTTCTCGATAGACAGTAACTGCAAACAGACACTATACTCAGCCTTTCACCAAAAACAACTCTTTAAGGATGAAGGGAAAGACACTTTCAAATACAGTATGTTCAACAGCAGATTCTCATAAAAGGAAACAAATATGTTTTCAGAGAGAAGAAAAATAATCCTGAAGTAGCTCAGGGATACAGGAAGGTATGAACAGTAATAAAAAAGATAAATATATGGTTAATCCTATATTAATGATGATATAAGATAGTTTTAGAGGTTAAAGTAAATGTTAAAATACATAACAATAGCAGTATATAAGTTGGTGCAGGAATTAACAGAGTTAAAGAATTCTAGACCCTTGTATTACCCAGAGAGAATTTTAAAGTACCAAGTAATTAAATTAGATTTTGCTGTATCACCGATAGGATAACCACTAAAAAATAGAAAAAGGAAGTATATAACTACTAAGCTGAGGAGGAAAGTGTAATAAGGCAAAAGAGAAAGATAAAATTTATCAAATTCTACACTTAAAATATGAGATCTGTCCAGAAAAAGTCCACCCATTGTTAATGTAACAGTTTGTGTGATATTGATGTAACCTGGCAGCCAAGGACAGTGGACTGGAATGCACATGCATGAACAATGATGATTTCACTGTACTAGTCCATGGGGGCAGATGGCATTGAGTGAGCATGTGTACTGTGTGATCGTCGCATTCAAAATCACTGTGCAAGCAAAGCAACAGATCTGCATCAAATTTTGCATTAAGCTTGAACATTCCTCTCTAGAAACTATTTCAATGGTTCAGAAGGTCGCAGCTATTGGTAACTGTGATTGGCAGCTTCATCACAACATCACTTCTCATGCAGTTTTTTGGCAAAACATCAAGTCACCCAGGTAACTCAGCCCCTCTACAGCCCAGATTTGGCACCCTGTGACTTCCAGCTTTCCCCAAAACTAAAATCACCTTTGAAAGGGAAGAGATTTCACACTGTCAATGAGATTCAGGAAAATACAATGGAGTAGCTGATGGCAACTGGGAAACTGTGAGAGGTCCCAAGGTGCCTACTTTGAAGGGGACTGAAAGGTCAGTTGTCCTATGTACAATCTTTCTTGTATCTTCTTCAATAAATATCTATGTTTCATATTACATGACTGGATACCATCTAGACAGACTTCGTACATGCAATTTATTGTACCTCAATTATATTTCAGTAAAGGTGTTAAAAATAATAGGATGTTTATTAAATCTGCCTGTCAATAACTGACTATAACTAAGGTCTCATGTGATTTTATTTGTGCACTCAGTACTTGAGCAGACAAACCCTAAAGCTGTAGCTTCTCCTGGTGACCTTTCTACCAACTTGCCAGCCATCCTCTTGCACAAACCCATTTATGCCTCACTTTCAGCACTGGTAGAATGGAACATACCATCTCCTTCCTATTTCAAAGAGCCATTGGAGATAATAATCAGGAAATGAGATGTCAGTGCAAAATAATACTTTTCTTAAAGTCAATATGTGAACACTTTGTTTCACATTTCTTGACTATCTTTGAGAAAATGAACTTTGACAAAAATCTACCTTTCCATCTTGGGCTGCTGGCAAAATAGCCTGAGAATGACAGAGGGCTTATACAGATATTATTAATTACATGCTATAAAAAACACTATACAGATGAATTTCTAAAAATCATTTAAAATTATACCTTTGCTACCATTCATTGGCTGGTGTAATTAAGCAAACTGAATTCATTTTCATTTTTTCTTTATCCTCATACCATGCTAATTTCAGTCTGAGTTTTCATCCATGACATTCTGGAGGCAAAGAATGTCTGGCTGTTCATGGCACCTAGAACAGTGTCTAGCCCTTAATAAATATTTGTGAAATAAGGGGGAAAAAATGCCTGGCTGACCTGGCTGATGTGGCTTAGTTGGACTGTCATCCCATAACCGAAGGGTTGTGAGTCCAATACCCGGTCGGGGCACATGCCTAGGGTGCACGTTCCAATCCCCAGTCTAGGCACATAGGATCCACATATAATCCCCAGCCTGGGTGTGTATGGGAGGCCACCAGTTAATGCTTCTCTCTCACGCCAATGTTTCTCTCCCTCCCTTCCCCTCTCTAAAAAAGCAATGACAATAATGTCCTCAGTTGAGGATTAAAAGAAAAGAATGCCTAGCCTACATATTCTCAACAAACCCTAAACGTTGGCAAGCACAGTGCCAACCACTGTAGGTTGAATGACAAGTAAAACAAAACTGACCTGGACCCTGATCTCCTGAAGCCTCTCTTAAAGTGTACTCTTTCAAGGTTCAGTTCAAGTCATGCCTTTTCTACAAAGAACTTCCACAGTGCCCTTGCCAGTGTGACTCAGTTGATTGGGCATCTTCCCACAAGCCGAAAGGCCATGGGTTCAATTACTAGTCAGGGCATGTGCCTAGGTTATCGGTTCCATCCCAGGTCTGGGTGTACACAGAAGGCCTGAATCAATGTTTCTCTCACATCGACATTTCCCTTTCTCACTCCCCCTCTCTCTAAAAAAAAATTTTTTTTAACAAAACAAGTTTCCACACTAACCTATCTGCAAATCTCGCCCTTTTCTAAACTTGCACTTAGTCTATGCCATGCCACACGATGTTACTTTGTAGCATTCTAGAGTTGTTCCAACAATCCATCTTTTTGTTTTTACCCCAGGCCAGTGTTGATTAATCAGTTTTCACCACTGGTGGTACAAGAACCCTCTCATTACATTTTATCCCCATACTACACCCCCATTCTCCTCCCCATCCTGAGCAACCGTTACATCTAAATGTTTATCTCTTCATTGTATTCTTACAAAATGAGCACTACCTTCTATGCACATAAACTTCAGTGTGTATTAGCACAGTTGTTATAGTTCTTTCATTTTATTCATTCATCACCAAGCTTCTAAGACACATCCATGTTGCTGTGTGTGTGTGTGTGCATTTATCCCATTGCTTTTACTTGCTGTACCCCATGCACCTTCACCACACGTCCCCTTTCCCCAGGATGGCCACCAGGGTGGCCTCCAACTTCCTCAACAACTATTCTACAGTTATTTTATGTACGTTACCTTGCCTATAGCTAAACTGTGAACTGCTTATAAAGAACCACATTTTTTTTCTGCTAAGCCCCCTTTGACAGTAGATAATTAGGGAATATTTGTTGATTTTCTATGGTGGCCTATGCATGTTCTCTACTGCAAGGTGCTAAAAATTAAAGTAAAATTAGAGTAAGGAGTTGCCAATGGAGTCTTCCTGGTGTTTAATCTTGACTTTACTCCTTACCAGCCCTGTGACCTTGGGAAAATAACACCAACTTGCTTTGGGCACCTCATTTTTAATCTATAAAGGTGGATACGAACACCTACCTTAGTGTGCTGTTATGAGGAATAAATGAATTAATACAAAACACCTCAATACAGCAAATGGCATATAACAGGTGTTTATATCTGCTCACTACTCAGCTTTGTGTAATATTCCATACATTTACATTAAATGGATTACTGTAATTCTTTGATTACCACTTTGCTAACCTAGATTTTAAGGATAAGTGCTAGAGTATGTTAAAATGCTCTTTTTTTTTCCCAAGAATGTAGTATGTATTACTCTTTATTGCAAGATTCATGGCAATCTTTTATTTGTTGTTTATTACATGTTGGAAAGAAAGTTTCTATTAAGAAGTAAAATCACAAGTTACTCTTCTGCGTACGAGAAGATGGGTGTTTTCATGGTTTCTGGTTCTTCCTCCAGTGGCTTGAAAATTCAGGTACTCCATCAGTCACGTTTTGCCCTCCAGGTGTTTATGTAAGAAAATGTACCCTGTAACAGAGTGACAGTAATACAAATCAGTCCCTCCTTGTGTTTACCCCAGTTTTTGACAATTCCTCCTGTTTTAAGGGACTATATCATTATGATTCACTGTGAGAATTATTTATAAAACCTGGGCAAATGCTTAAATAAGAATAAAAATCATAGTTAATTCTAGATCTGCAGAATAGGCTTGGCATCATTATCTCTTCTATCACTGATACGCATCTGCTCATGTCATTTGGTTAATGCTGAAATCTCTATTATCACTCTTCTGGAGCAGCACATCGTACGTACACAGACTTGCCTTAATGATTACAAAGAATCAGAATATTTAGAATTGAAATATTTGACAGATAACTCTAAAATGATTTGTGAACTTTTGAGTATATTGCTTTTAAACAAGGCAACACAATCATTCCTAAAATGTGACATTTCATTTGAGAAGACATGCATTTACTACTTCCAAGAATTTGCACTAAGACAGAAAGATAAAACACAAAATGGAATGTAGCCATTGTTCTTAAAAAATAACAAACGTTCACTTTAACAAAGTTCCAGCCATACTGTTCCCAGACTAAAGGACAGAAACAAATTCGAGTATTATCCCCAAGTACATTTAGTTTGGGATAAAGCTATACTGGTATTCTCTTAACTTAGGTTATAAACAAGTTGCAATAAGGGGATGGATATGTAAAATAGAAGTAACAATGTGGAGGAAGAAGGAGGGAGGAGAGAATTGAGTAAAAAAATGAGAAACAATGTTTAAAAGTTTCTATGGTTTTGTGTAAAGAATGAGGTATGATATCTCAGAAATAGTACTGGGAAATGAAATGATGCCCAGCGTATCATTTAAAAAGTGATAAAGCAACAAGACTACATAATAAGCAATATATTCAAGATAGTGGTAGGAAGAGAAAGACCGTCAAGTGCTAGATTTACTGAATAATGTTTAGATTTTACAGTTAAATATCATGTAAAGAAATAAAATATTGTAACATCTGCTACAGTGGGACTGAAACTCTAGACCCTGGTCCTTCTCTCCCCTCTGAAACAATTATTTCTATAATGTGTGTCTCTCTGCTGTAGTATTCAACTCTTTAATCTTCACACTATTAGCTCAGTATCCTTTTACCATCAAAATGAAAGTATTAACAGCTAACCCTTAATGAGTACAACACTCCACAGTATGTTTTAAGAGTTGTCCACATAGTAACTCCTTCCATCCCTATAACAATTCTGTGACTAGGTGCTGTTGTCATCGTTAATCTCCATTTTGTAGACAGGGACATTACTGACAGAGAAGTAACTGGCCTGAGGTCGTGGGACTGAATGAGGCAAAACTGGGATTTCAACCCACGCAGCCCGGCACCAGGGTGCTGTGTCACCTCTCTAGTGAGGTGGCGTTTCCCTCTTGACTCTCATCCAGCAGTGGGCACAATACAACTATGTCACCTATATCCCAAATTTAAAACTCAGATGTAATTGTTGATAAAGCTCTACCTTTAGAACCATCCCACACTACCAAGCCCCAATATTACCAAAACATTTACTCATGATTTGGCCCAAAGCAAACTGGTCCGCAGTACAAGTTGGGAGAAAATGTATAGCCACCCCCTCTTCCCCGCCACCTTCATGATTTTTCATGCTCTGGATGGGTTAGTGCAGCATTTTGCTTTAAGCATTTTTGCCTTTTTCACTAATTCATTTTTACTGTCCTGCAGAAAGTTGAAGCAAATGAATCATCCAACAATTCATGGATTGCTTAACTAGTGGTAGGTTATATAATGATACACATGGTAATCCCACTTTATAATTCTGTTTCTGCGTCAGTCCCTACTCACTTATTTCTGGAAGAAGGTAGTATCATTGGAAGAAATGTTTCAATAATAAAAACCATCCACAGAAATAACCTTTCTTTGTGTAATCATCTCTGTAATTTCTGGCTTAATTCCTTAACATTTCCTGTGCTGTTCATACATTAAATTCTTTGAATGGTCAGAATTTTCTCAGAAATAGTTCATAATATTCTTCACTTTTCTCTAAGGAGGAGTGTTGAAAGAATGAATGATCCGCCTATTTTCTTGGACACAGACGCAGGCACGTCTCGGATGTGCGGAGTGTTTCTGGATCAGTGCAAAGGAGCCTGTACGACCGAGCAAGGCTACATCAGTTTTAACAGCACAAGTGCTTCAGCAGAGGTGAGCACAGGGCTGACATCCACATGGTCCTGGGGAGAAATGAGATGGCAGGCCGGCTATCAACCTGAGGAGGTGACACCAGAGCCGTTGTGTAGGGTGAGTGGGAGTTTGTGAGAAGAAAGAACATTCGGCACATACAGTGAGTGGTCAAACAGTAAGTGTAGAAGAAAAAATGGCAATCTTTGTTTTGATTTTACCTTACAGTAAACTTCTTTCTCCAAGACCAGTAATAATTTATAATGATCCAACAGATACGCATGGGGGATAAAATACCTTTTATATCTTTTGTGTTGATCTCATGAGATTAGTAGAAGGTTAAGAAAAGTTTTTAAGCACTAGAAAATGTCATGCTTCCCTACAAGTTTGATATGTATTAAGAAATGTGTAAATTGTTCTTACCAGACCACCCATAAAGTTCTTAATGATTTTCTTCCCCAGTATGTTCATTAGCCACATGCCCCAGGTTGGCATATACTGCCACAGATATGCCACCAACAGAAAAGGCTGCTCTCCAATCCAAACTTCCTTCAGGTCATTGGCCATGCTGACCAGCATCAGTCGCACACAACGGCTGGTGGCCATCTTGTTGGGCTGGTCTGGGTCGCTACCTACAGACTAAGAAACATTTTAAAGATGAAATGAATGCTGAGTGTTTATCCAAGGCATTTCATAAAACTTTTAAGCTAGAGCCATGCCTGGTGTAGCTCAGTGGATTGAGCTCAGGCTGTGAACCAAAGGGTTGCTGGTTGATTCCCAATTAGGGCACATGCCTGGGTTGTAGGCCAGGTCCCCAGTGGGGGCCATGTGAGAGAAAACCCATTGAGAGTTTCTCTCCCTTTCTTTCTCCTTCCCTTCCCCTCTTTCTAAAAATAAAAAAAAAATAATAAAAAATTAAAAACTTTTAAGCTAGAAAGGACCCAGAAGTCATCTAGTTGAGTGACTCCTTTATGTGATCTCATGCTGCCTAGGAGTTTCCCATTGGTACTAACAGCTGTCTACAATATTTCAAAATGCCTAACAGGAATCGTATACACTTACCAGATAAGACTGTGCAGGCTAACTAAAAGATGAAGTTTCTCTGCTTTTAATTAGAATTGTATCATCTTAGTGTACTTTAGGATAATCATATATCACTTTAATAATAAAAATCTTTAAGCAAATTCATACATACATTTAACAAATTAAATTCTATTAACACAGAAGAGTCCAGCCCTGGCTGGATGGCTCACTTGGTTGAGCATTGTCCCATGCACAAAAGGTTGCCAGTCGGGGCACACAGCTAGGTTGTAGGTTTGATCCCCAGGTCGGGGTGCATACAGGAAGCAACCAATCAATGTTTCTCTCTCATATCGATGTCTGTTGCTGTCTCACCCTCTCTGTCTCTCCCTTCCTCTCTCTAAAAACAATAAACATATCCTTGAAAAAAATATAAAAAAAAAACCACATAGAGTCCTTGGGGGTGAAATGGAGGAAAAAGATAAAAAAGTGGTTTCTTGGTAGTGGACACATCTAGTACTGCTAATCTAGTCAACCCACTATCATTCTATAAATAAATAAACTGAGGCCCAGGAAGGTAGTTACTCATCTGCATTGACACAGACCATTAAAATAACCATGTCTACATTCCAAGTCCCTTGATTTCTACAGTGGGATGATTATTCCATTTTACCTTAGAGCCTCCACAGAAAGTGTGAAAAATATAAATTATATCTGTGAACATTTACATACAAGCATATACAGATTGATGTCACAGTAGAAATAGATCTTAATGGAGAAAAAGGAAAATGTCATGGTCTTTAGAGGGATTTTGTATTACTGAGTGACTGGATTCTTCATTAGACATCTGATATTCATTGATAAATCACTCTGTGTAATCCGAGCTGAGGGCAGCACAGGCCTAGGTGAAGCTAACCTAAAATTATCACAACAGAACAAGGCTTTTTCTAAGCTCCTTCACCGCAATTCCTCTTTAAAAGAGCAATACATTTAATATACTAAAATTTAGCCACACAGAGCCTTTCAGTATTGCTATACTTTGTGAATGGACAGAAACTGGGTTTTTTAAATCCCATTACAGTGGATTACTTACCCAACAATTTCTTTAGCCTTTATTAAAACTGGCTGTCAAAACACTATCAGCTAACCTTCACAATTTTCCTTATGCTATGAGTTACGGCTTGTAAATAAGTCACAAAACCCTGAGGCATAGTGATATAACACCAATAAATAACTACTAAAGCATTCAAATTATATCCCAACTAGAAATTTTTACCTGTGTGACATCATTAGTTAGGGCATTCTTCACAATATTTGATTGCACAGGTCCTGGGAAAATGTTAGACACTACTATACCTGGGTATTCGAAGAGTTCAGCTCGAAGGCTGTTAAAAAAACCCTAGTAGACAAAATAAAAAAGCAAATAAATACAGACATATATCTCATGTTTAAGCAAATTAATACCTACATAGTTCTTCAACTATGAGGGACAATAAAGCAACACATTATCAAAATACGTTCTGAAATGCGTGACTAACAGGAAATGTAATTGTGCAACCTTATTAGGTATTTTTAACCATAAGACTGGAGGCCATCTAGAATAGCATTTTCAGCTCTTTCGAGGTATGAATGGTTCACCTGTTTGGTAGTGGTGGATCATGCCATCAGTGATTTTTAAGGTAAGCAAACACTGGATAGGTGAAAAAATACCTCCTGGAGATTGTGATACACACTCTACACCAATCCCCATATCTCACTCCAAAAGGGGTGCATGTTCTCCACTGAGAATCACTCAGGTTTGGTTTCTTTTTATCTCTCAAAGTGGTCTAATGTGCCAGTATTGGGGCGGGGGGATGGGGAGGGAATTAGTACTTAACAGAAACTCTCATCGAGAAAGAACCCCTAGCCAGGTGGCTCAGCTGGTTGGAGGGTCATCCCATACACAGAAAGGTTGTGGGTCCGATCCTCAGTCAGAGCACATGCCTAGGATGTGGGTTCAATCTCTGGTTGGGGCATGTACAGGAGGCAACCGATTGATATTTCTGTCTCACATCAATGTCTGTGTCTGGCTGGCTGGCTGGCTGGCTCTCTCCCTCTCTGCCCCCTTTTCTCTCTCTCTAAAATCAGTGAACATGTCCTCAGATAAGGAAGGGAGGGAGAGAGAAAGGGAGGGAGAGAGGGAAGAGGGGAGGGGGAAGGAGGGAAGGAAGGAAGGGAGGGAAAGAGGGAGGGAGAGAGAGAGGAAGGGGAGGGAATCAACCTTTTCTATTTATTACCAGTTTAACATTAGTTTCAGCCAACATTCAACTTCTCTGGACAGTAAAACCCTCTAGACTTAAATATACTTGCCATTTCTAAACCAAATAGGGAGTAAACATCTACTTTCCCTAAATCTCTTTTCCTAATTTGGAAAATGATCCAAGATTACATTGTTATGAGCTGAGTTAACTACTGAAAAGCCTAAAGACCTAACCCCTAGGATACATGTATTTATGATCCAACAACGTTAAAGTAGGTACCAGCTCTTAACTCTGACCCCTAACAAAAACACAGGGCCTACGATGATTCATGCTGCCAGAGACTAAGACAGTGCCTAACTCTGATGGGCAGGAAAAAGGCTTTCTAAATGAAGAAACTCCCATACCCTTCACTTTCTGCCGCTCTTTAGCAAAGAGGAGAGAGGACAGACACCATAAGAGCCAATATATCAGACATTAAAACCTCTTCTTGTTTGAAGTCACATCTAGTATAACATGATAGTGTGAACTTTTCATGGATAAACAAGTTCACTCTAGCTGGCATCTGACAAGGAAATGTGCTCTTCAAAGAGCCTTTATCTGACACATTGTGTCAGAGGATCAAAGCCAACAATAAAATAGTGAGCCTTAGAGGGCAGGCCAGACAACTTACATTGTGTTTGACTGAGAGCATCCTGCATGTCTCATGACATACTTGGTGCCAAACAGATGGGGGAGCTGCCTTCCCTCATCTACCAGAGTTGCCCAGCTGCTCTACAGGAAGTGACTGATACCCTGTTGCCAAATATGAGGAAATGGTCACGTAGCAGTCCCTTTCCTCACTCTCTGCAACTGTCTGCTTTTCACAACAGAAAGGATGTCCCAAGGAACCAACCCTTCACATTTTCCTGAAACTGATGATCATTCACCTATCCGTCTCATCATTCCAACAGTGAACCATTCTCTGTAAACTGACCTTCAACAGCATTAACTACAAATTAGGAATCTTCTTTAATTATTCTTCTCCTCTTGGCCTTATGACTTAATTTGTTCCTTGTTATAGTTTAATAACATTTCTTCATATCCACTCTTACCCATCATTAAAAATTCATTCATTTCTAATATTGACAACTCAAAAGTTAAGCAAACCAAATCAAGCTTCTCTCCTAGCCTGTCTTCTTCCAGTGAACCCAGGGTAAATACAGTCAAAGCTAGTCCCAGCAGGGCTATGAAGCACAAGGCAGATCCTCTAATGGGTAGTTCCTATTTCCATGCTTATATATGTAGACCAGGTTAAATGAACCCCACCTAAAAGGAGGGAGGAAAAAGAAGTCCCAGAAGTAGGGAAGAAAACTACACCCTGGAGTATATGAAGAAATCCGGGGTAGATCCCAAATTTGCCACGAAGATGCGGTAGAAATAAGGAAAAGGTGAAGGGTGATATGTTGACTGGATTATACAATTCTTGAGGGCAGGGACCGTATCTCATCATTTTTTTATCCCTGGGATCTGCTGCAGCTCATGGCACAGTTGTAGGTGCTCAATACATGTTTGCTGAATTAGAAAGAGGGAGGTGAGGTTCAAGTCTTTTTAGGCATCTTTGGGGGATATCCTCTATCAAAGATCTCCTTGGGTCTCTCTATCCCTCTGCATCACTGCATAGTTCCAATGACCTCTTGCAGTGGCAGCCATATCCCCCATGCACATTGATGTCAGTTCTATGCAAGCCAGTTTGAGCAGCCTTACCCGAAGAGCATGTTTGCTGGCACAATATCCACTAGAAAGGGGCATAGATACGATACCCATGAAGCTATTCACAGTAACAATCTTTCCTTGTTTCCTCTCGATCATGTGAGGCAGAACACACATTGTCAAGGACACTGTCCCTAAGTAGTTAAGCTTTATGAGCTCCTTGTAGACATCCAGGCTGGTTTCCACACAGAGAGAACGCTGGGACTTTCCACCATTGTTGACCAGAATGTCGATCTAGTTAAATAAAATCAGAAAAGGGTCACTTTGGGGATGACCTGTAATGGAGTTTGATGGAATACCTAGGGCTGACTGCTTATATTGTTAACTTGAAGAATCATTCACTCAGAATGGTGTATTTCCAGAAATCAGCAATAAAAATATAAAATAAAAACAGGATTCGCCTGTGGAATCAATTCCTATTTTAGGTGATTCTTTATGGGAAGTAGCAAGTGTTATAAAAATAAAAGGCACTGAGTTTCTAGCTTCTTTTGTTCTCCACAGAGGAGTTAGTACTTGTTAAATTATGAAAAGTAGTAATCACACAAAGCCAAAGACTCAGAAATTAAGAGGCCCAACTCACAGGCCCTGATCTCACTGAATGGACCCATTTGCCTCAAGCCCTTTTAATGACAGCACCACAGATGGGAATCACTTTTGCAACTACTTCAAAGCAAAACTTATCAATTCAAAATGCTACTTACTTTACCAAACTCCTGGAGAACGGTTTTGGTAGCCACTTCGTGTGAACTTATGTCAGTCAGGTCAAGGGGCAAAACAAGTATATCTTTTCCTTTTAAATTGCCATTCTCTAAATAAAGACACTTAAAAATTAGTGTGGAGGTCACGCAATAGTTCATTCAAGCTCCCTGCCACTTGCATTAAGTCTAATACCCATCCTTACAACCAGACTTGGCAACAAACTCACTTCTGAGTGGGCCTGCAGGAGAGTCTCTCAGTGATCAAGAAGAGGACTGGCGGTAATAATGGCAACATCTTATCGGACAAGCTGGCTGGGGACATGGGAAGGAGAAGGGCAATCCTCAACTCGTCTAGAGTTGGGAAGACTCCATGGGAAGTAGCCATAGTAGACTATAAAAGTTAGAGTGTTTATATAGGTTACTATATATAAGCTACTATATAAACAGTCTAACATTGGAACAGACTAGAGGAAATCAAGACTATACTACATGGTAAAAAAAAATTTTTGAAGCAATTTCTTTAAAGTATAGAGATACTTTTATATTATGATAGGTTCACAGTATTGGTTGCCCTTTTACACATACTGAAAAACAAAGTTTATGCTTAAAATCATTAAGAAACTCAAGCCCTCTAGTGGCATGACACACAGACACTTCTTTCCAGAGGCTGAGGATTCCAGGAGGCAAACATGGAAAAGTACAGAATCCTGGAATTCCCAACCAAGAATCATGTTGGACTGTAATGGCCCTTTCTATTTCTGTTTATTAAAAAAGAAAAAACCTGCCCTGGCTGGCGTAGCTCAGTGGATTGAGTGCGGGCTGCGAAACAGGCATTGCAGGTTCAATTCCCAGTCAGGGCACATGCCTGGGTTGCAGGCCATGGCCCCCAGCAACCGCACATTGATCTTTCTCTCTCTCTCTCCCCGTTTCCTCTCTAAAAATAAATAAATAAAATCTTAAAACAACAAAGAAAAAAAGAAAAAACCTGAAATTAGTCTTCTTGAACTCTGACCTTGGAGTACAGTAATGCCAATAAGGAAACATCAGATGTATAAAGGCTGATGGACAAAGGACTAAATTGTGAAACATTAACTGTTTTAAAAGAAAGAAAAAAGTGTGTACCAGTTGTCTGGCAGGTAAAAGGAAGGCAACCAGCCTCGTTCCAACTAGGAAATGCTGACATGGCTCACCTCTGCTAGTGCAGATCTTACCAGCAGGGCAACTGCCTCAAGGAACAGCCCAGGGAAGAACGCAAGAGCCCTTGGGGCTTTGGCAACTAACATTCATTTCCGAGTAGTTAGTTCCATCAGCAAAGTGAAAGAAAGATTTCTACAGGATGACAGGTAGATGACCAAAAAAAAATGGTCTGCTGGAAAATTCAAAATTATCTCAGTCTAGATACTAAATAATAACTTTATTCCTTGAGGCTGCTTTCAACGTGAACATAACCACACTAAAACTAGAACAAAAATAAACTTTGTTGCTCTATATATTAACATGAAAAATACTATCTCAAGGTGCATTTTTTAAGCTTAATTCACTTCCTATTCTTTTGTCCTTTATAACAAAAATCTTATGCCATCCCACATGACTTCAGTATCATTTACCAAAATGAGTCAGGATCCTTTCTAAGTAAATTTCTACAGTTACACACCTGTATGTCATACATAAGAACCAAACTGTTCCTTCTTTGAGACAAAAATATAAGGCATTTATTTGGTTTCTAAAAACCCACCAACATTTGAGAGAATTGGTGGTCACTCCCTAACACCCAGAAGTGGTGCAATTTAAAAAAAATAAAAAAGCAAAAAGGTGCCAGGAAAAGGGAAGAGAAAGGCCAGGGCTGCCAATTGAGAGATGACAAAAGGAAGAGGACTTGGGTCAAAACACTTGGAGCATTTGGAACTGGAGTGTGCTGTCCGGGAAAATCCCACTCTCCCTGCTGAAATTCCCCAAACTGTATTTGAATTTGGATTCTGATTTATTTCTAGGAAGCACAGCTGCTGTTTTTAGATCCACTTACCAAGGCACCTTCTTTTCACCCTTTCCAGCTCCTGCACTCTTCTGGCGGACAGCACCAAGGAAGAAACTCCTAGTTTAGACAGCTGGTAAGCCAGCTCCTCACCAATTCCACTCGATGCTCCAGTCACCCACACCACCATGTCAGTCAGCTCCCATTCTATTGAGAAAAGAGCAAGGGTGGGAGGAAGAAAATAAGCTATGAATTACACCCATATCCAAAAGTTAGCAAAGAAAAAGTGTTTTAAACAATACCGCTAATTAATGAGGGTATAATGCGAGTTGCTGTGATACAATGTTCCTGCATGTCTTGTTTCTTAAAATTTGTGTCATTTGTCAAAAATAGCAAACCAGGTGTCACTTAACATACACATTTCTGGTTTTCAATTAGGAAAGTTAAAAATCAGGAAACTGAGTTTGAGCTGGGTTGTGGGCCAGGTCCACAGTCCGGGTTGATCGAGAGGCAATGCATAGATGTCTCACACATTGATGTTTCTCTCCCTCTTTCTCTCTCTCTTCCCCTCTCTCTAAAAGTAAATAAATAAAATCTTTTAAAAAGAAAAAAATCTTCAAAATGTCTTACATGTAAAAGAAATGAAAGATAATTTCCGCATACAATAGCTGTATATCCACCCTACCCTACCAGGAAACTTGAAACAAATGAAAAAAAATTAGGAAACTGGTTGACTACCTTAGTCAAGCGATCCTAGAACCTGCCAGGTTGATAGTGTGGGCTCCAGAAGTTGCCAGGGTTCAAATCCCAGCTCCAGCACATAGCAGTGAAACACTCCTATGTGAGAACTCAGAGCCTCAACTTTCTACAACCAGAAAATAGTAAAAACTCTGGCACAGAATTGTTGAGAGGAACAAGTTAAAACGGGCAGGGTTCTCATAGCAGTGTCTGACATACTCACTGCTTAATAAAATGTCAATGAATAATCATTGCTAAAAATCTTTAACAAATGGACTTTTGGCAGCAAAACATAAGATATTCACTCACTAACATGTGTGTTTCAATTTCTCCAGCCAGGGGCAATGAGGTTACTGACTATAATGGCTTAACATTTTTTCATTACTTCCTATGTGTTTTAAAAACATTACCTTATTAAAACCCTCACAAGAACCTTATGAAATATGGATTATCTCAATTTTATAAAAAAGGAAACTGAAGTTTACAGGAATTCATTTATCCCATTAGACTACGAACTTCCTTATGGCTGACACCCTGCTTGCCTTGCTCCTTGTTCCTGCTATGTCCTCAGTGCCTAGCACACTGTGATATAGATGGGACTCCACAAATAACTGTTGAATAAACACCCAAGATCCCTAGCAGAGCTGAGATATGAGCCCAGGTGTATCTCACTCCAAAGGCCACATTCTGGCCACTAGCGTATGATGCCCACATTTTAATATGATCAATGTTTTAAAATCCGACTGTTTTTTAGCCATTCAAGAAAAAGCAACTTGTCCTCAGGAAAGGGGGTTGCATGTAAATAATCTGAACCAAAGATGGAAACATCCCTGTTATAATGTCTGGGCCATAATGCTTTTCTATCACATGATGTGCCTTCCTGGAAGGGCACAACTTAGCCACCTTCCTGAAGGATTTTCTTGGGAATAGAAAAATGTGCAAGTATAGTCAAAGAGTCATTTATTCATTCATCAATGACTCATTATAGGGAACCTATCCACGTGGAATGGCAAATGTAGCCCAGCCCTATCTGAAAACCGATAGGCGCGAGTTGGCACACAGGAGCCAGACCCATGGATTGGTTCTCCCGTGGGAAACCAGGCCTGCATTGTACCTAGGCTGCTTTGAGGCTTGCTCTTGCTAAAACTTTCTCACCCTGAGTTGAAGCAGCAAATGTTTACTGCACATGTTTAAAGTTACTTCCTGAAGTCTGTGCTAATTCTCCCAAGGATGGAGTGTAATCAGACCAATCACTCTTATCATTCCCTTGTATTTGCAACATTTCTTCCTTGTCAATCTGTAAGAAGTAATCAGTAACATCCTTTCCTTTGTTACCTGTAAAAAGTAATCACCTAAACCAAACCTAAGTATAATGAATGAAAACCTTCTTTGATGTATGCTATTAGAAAGCCAATAAAAGCCTGTCCAGGAAAGGGTTGAGGTGCTCTCTCTTTGAGAGAGTGGCCGTGCCGTCCCTTTTTCTCCACAGGACTTCTGCAGTCCGTGTGAATTTGTTCGTCTCATCCACAACACCACGGACATTGCTGGCCAGAGTCTGCATCACTCTTTGTTCCAAAGTTCTGCAAAACTTGGACTCTAGGGTAAATAGAGCTTGTAACTGTTTACTAACTAGTGTAGAACTAAGAAAGATTTCATTTTTACCCCCAAATGCAAATATTATTTAAATCCAACAATGAAAATCCCCAGGCTCACTTTTTTACCTTAATACACCTATAGTTCTGGCACCTTCCTGGGGAAGAAAACTTTTTTTTGCACCAATGCTTATAAATTGCACAGAATCTGGTATATACAACAGCCTCCCTAAAAAGCTTCTGAAAGCAGGTTCTTGAAGTTCAAAGAAACTTAACAGTTCAATCCTGAGCCCAGTGTGAGAATTCTCTCCTTAGGTCGACTAGTCTCTACTTAATTCCCTCACAGGATGAGGAAGCTACTGACCTCTGAGGCAATTACTCACTCCTTTTGTTGGATCAGTCTAATCCTTCAAGGAGTTCAAAGATTCTTATCCTGATGTGCTATACCTTTAACTTCTCCCCACCAGCATCTGATGCCTTGTGACACCAGAAAGAATAGATTGAGCCTGTCTTGCACATGACAACCCCTCATTTATTTGAAGACAGGTGTTATGTCCTCCCTAAGTCCTCTCCTTCTTGCTCCTCTAAGGGTACATAAACACCTCCAATTGCTGCTACCTTCCCTCAGATGACATGGCATCAGGTTTCTCCTTCACTCTTCTGCTCCCACCCCTCTGCACAGGCTCTAGCTGGTCAATGTCCCTATTGAAGGGAGTCGACCAGAGCAGGACACAGGATTCCCACGGGGTCTGTACAGTTCAGAGCAGGGTGAGGTAACTAAATTGCTTCCCTTGTTCCCCAGAAGACACCCTGTGTGAGGGCCTGGACAGTGGCTGGATCAGTCACTGCTGTGTCCCTAGTGCCCAGCACAAAGGCTGACCCAGGTTACAGAAGACATCTGTTGTTGTTGGGAGTTTGCTGCTTCAAGACACTAAATATCTCCCAGGCTTGCTTAATTTTTCTGGCAGTCACTTCACACTTGCCTCATTTTGAGGTTCCTGTCAACTAAAACCTGAGTTTCCCTCACATGTGCTGCTATTGAGACTTGCCCTGCTCTGGACTTGTGCCAGATATTTTTTCTGGATCAACATGCAATGTCTAAAATTAGTCACCCTTAAATGTCACCATGTGAGATATATGCTTAGAAATGCAGAGAACTTCTCTAGAAGAATACGTAAAAGGTGGGACATGGTGGTTCCCTCTAGAGAGGCATACGGAGTAGGTGGGGGCAAGGCTGGGAAACAGCTTTATTTTTCACTGTATATCCCTTGTATTTTTAATTTTTTATTATGTGAACATATTATTTATATTTTAAGTGACAAAAATAATAAACCTTCAGAGAAGATGATTTTTTTTCATCTTGATAAGAATCTGTCCATCTTTCCAATGTGAGCTACTTTGGGACCGGAGTCTGTCCTCAAGGTCTTTTCACTTTTTTTCATTACCCCTCACTCCCAGGGGTCCTGTAAGTTATTTTTTTCCTAACAACTCCACCATGGAATTGTAATTCCACTGATATACTCTCTGTCTGTTTATACATATATCTGTACCTTATATTTAAGGCATTCTGTAAAGTGTACTCCAGTAAGAATAGCTAAATTCAAAAATTAAAAGTTAAAAATGAAACACTATTAACATTTAACTTAACTTTATATCTGTATTTGCTGAATAACTTTTAATGTCATGTGATTACTCAGATAAATAGTAATGTATTAAACTACATATGCAAGTTAACAAATCATATAACTACATAATAGCAATGTAATTAAATCTATTCAAAATCCTCCAAAATTGTTATTTGGAGGCATACTAGCCCTCGCTTCCAAGTAAAAACAGCATAAGTAAAACATTAAAAAAATTAATTTGTTAGAATTCATGTTTAGTCACCTTAACTTTTAACTTTTGCTTGCTATGTGAAAATAACTTCTAATTTAACTGGCTGCTAGATATTACCAACATTTTTCCTTTTCAGAGCTTGGCATAATTAGTGGGTTGGATAATTTGTAAAGAATTAAATAATAAAATACAAACTATTTGTATGTAATTCTCAAAGTCCAAGTTAACATGGAAGCATCAAACACAAACATCCACAAAGCAGCCAGTAGGCACATGTATTCCACCTGCTGAAATGGAGCAAACCATCAAGAGAAAGCCTGCCAATCACAGCCATCAATTTGCCATGGTTTTATAGCACTGACATTGCATATGTATACTGTATTTTCCATGAAGTCAATAATGTCAGTGTTGCATATGTCCCACCAAAAATGAAAAACTAAGGGAAAAGATTTCATTAGGTAGGGTTCAGCTTTCTAGAGACACAAAACACTATTCTATCAGGAGTGCCCAATCTGTAGCCCAAGAGCCACAAGCAGCTCAGGATGGCTATGAATTTGGCCCAGCACAAAATTGTAGATTTATGAAAACCCTGAGATTTGTTTGTGATTACATGTCACAATGTATTTAATGTGGCCCAAGACAACTCTTCTTCCAGTGTGGCCCAGAGATATCAAAAGTTTGGACACCCCTGCATGTTCCTTTTGGGTCCCCAAGAACCAATTCTCACCCCACAGAAGCAATACCACTTCCCTTCTCTCCTGGCCCCATTTTAAAAGCATACTAGCCCTTGCTTCCAAGCAAACTTCCTCACATGATGAGTCTTTTCATACAGGAAACTTGGTCCAGTAAAATCCTACTTCCCCCAGCCTTTATGGATCCTAAGCATATCTTTGGGCAGGTCATTAAATTTCTCTGAATATTAGTTTCTCTACCTGGAAAGTAAAATTAACAAAGTCTGCTTTGTATGAGTCCTTGTAACACATAAAGTTCACATGCTGTAAAGGACCAAAGCACACTGTTGAGTACAGAGAATGTATTAGTTAACCACCAGAAAATATTAAGCAGGACACAGATACACATGGGACAGGAGGAATGCCCCTCATATGCCAATAATGATCTTACTCCCCACAAAATGCAATCCAGTTCTTTCCAGGGTTATACTTTTACATGTTCCAAAGAGTAACTAGGTGTATAAGTCCAGGTTACACGGAGAAAGGAAGGATGTTTTAACGGCTCTAAAACTCATTAACCAAAGGAGACTAGACAGCCTTTCAAACTCCTTACTGGGTATATTCCATGGGGATAATCACGTATACTTTTTAACAGTTTCAATATGAAAAAAGAAATGATTATAGAAAGCAGTGCCTGTTCTTTCTGCATCCTGATAAAAGTTTGCCTTGAAGAATGTATGCTTCCAAACTCTATTTTCAGATTCCTCTGTGCCAGCGGGGGACAGCCCAGCCTTATCTGTACATCCTTTCCCCCTGATGTAAAAATGTTAATCTTTGAAATGTGTGTACTTCTCGCTTACCCCTCTACCTGTATAAGCAGCCCTCACTCTTCCAAGTCAGCGCAGTGTTTCAAGGCTTCTTGGAGTTCTGCTCTCTGGTATGTCCTCAATTTAGTCCAAATAAAAACCTTTTCTTAAATTTACAGAGGTTTAGATCTTCTTTTCGTTGAGAATTTCAAGTTTTGCCATTTCAAAACCCCAGGGGAGTGAAAAGTGGTGGATAAACAACTTCATCAAGTAGAAAGACGGAGCTCCAGTCATCAAAAGGGGGCTCGTTTACACACCAAGGGAACGCGCGCACTACTCCAACTACGGTCCTCCGACACTGCATCGGAATCCCTGAGAGCCAGGTAAGAATTGAGGGTCCTGAGGGAGCCCACCCATTCCATACTCTATCACTTTGGCGACAATGCAAGTCTAGCCAACCAGCATACTAGATTATAGGCAGAATCGCCACTTCCTCCCTCGCCCGCAGCCCCTGGAAAAGGTTCAGCCTTGCGACTCGGAAGCTCCACGCCACCCAGAGACTCGAAGGCAGCGCAGACTCGCTGGCAGGGGGCCCGGCCTTCCATACTGGAGGGATGGCTGCGGGTCCTCACCTGGACGTCGCCCCTGCCACTCGGCCCACAGCAGGGTCAGGTCCCCATCAGCCCGCAGGAAGCGCAGCAGCTGCACCACGAACGCCAGCAGCGCGAACAGCGCCAGCAGCAAAAGCAGAAAGTCCCAGCTCATGGCGGCGGGGTGCGCCCTACTCCACCGGAGGAAGACGGGCCGCGCCCTAGCAGCGCAGCGGCTCTCCCAGGCCTCTGCGGCTGCTTCCACGCCCCCCCGGGAGCAGTGCCGCCGGGCTCCGCCCAGTCCCGCACCACCTCCGGGAGTCGCGCTGCGCGCGTGGGCGTGGGGTGCGCCCCAACGTCGCACCACATGTACCCGCCCCGCAATTGCCACACGGGTTCCGCCTGCGTGTGCATCCAATAAAGGATTGCAGTAGGAACAAAAGGCATGGATTTGTAGCATCAAAAACCGCTTTTTTAGCAGTTGTTTTGAGGGCAGTTTTCAAGGCTCTGGTTGTGTCAACAGGAAAAGCACAAATATTTCAACCGAAAGACGCGGTCTCCTCTCTGTTATCTTTCTTCTTTAACTACAGGAATCGAACAAACCATCAAATTGTTTTTCACCCCACCCAACCCCCACCGAATTAACCCAGTCCTTCTGAGTTAAATTGGCCCCATGTCAACTAAAATTTGGAAGCGCGGTGCAAATCACATTTGCCTAATTGCTGGACAAGAAAGTGCAGTTTCGGCCATAACTGTCCATGAGCACTAGCGCTAGGAGCTCGGATGAGGGGGGCCTTTGCCAACCCAGCGGGACTTAGTAACTGCACCCCGGGTGAGCTTGATTAAATTATTTCATTATCAGTACCCACAAAGAATATGGAGGAGGGTTTAAATGAGAAGGTGTATGTGATGGAACGGAGCCTGGTACACAGTGGTTCATTCTTTTGTAATTATTACTATTAGTTATCATTATTAATTATTTTTTGTTTCCATTATTATAATTTCTTAAATGTCAACCTGAACGTCAGGGACTTTATTTATAAACTTGTATATTCTACACATGCAGAGTTCCCCTCACACGTGAAAGCAATAAAAATGTTTAACTTGTAATGAATCAAATTGTTACAGTTTGGGAGTCCTTGAGGAAGCTGTGAGCTAGCTTACAACTCGGAATGATATTGCTCAAGAGTCGCCCTCATTGGGCTGTCACCTTTGCAATAAGGGTTTTATTTTCTTTATCATGAATGATTTTTAAAATAAGGTGCTTAAACATACCACTCAAAAATCTCACTACAGTGTAAAAACTCTTTAAGAGTTTCCTCTGAACCTGTTTCCCCTTCTGTAAAATATAAGAGTTGAGTTAGATTTAGTGTCGCAAGCCAGACCATACCATGGGTATACTGGATTTTCCATCACAAACTCCAGTTGCTGTGAGAGTGAGACGGGTACAGAGGTGCAAATGGCAATTATGGCAGTGGGAGGTGGGACAGCAGGCCAGGACTGGGAGAAACCCACCCAGAGAATATGATCTCTGATCTGTCCAGCTTTAGGGATTAAGAAATCTCTGTGAGAGACAGAATCATGGTTACAGAGAGTGTTTTGATGGTTGCCAGATGGGAAGGGAGTGTGGGGAGTGGGTGAAGAGGTGAGAAGATTAAGAAGTACAAATAGGTAATTACAGAATAGCCAGGGCGGGTGTAAAGCACAGTATAGGAAATTGAATAGCCAAAGGACTTATATGCATGACTCATGGAAATGAACAATGGTGGGGGGACTGCCTAAGGGAGTGGGGGGTGCCGTGTGGAGGGGGGGCAAAGGCACAAAAATCAGGACCACTGTAGTAACAATCAATAAACTATAATTTAAATAAATAAAGATCTTTTAAAAATATTTTTTAAAAAGAAATCTCTGTGAGGTCTGAATGTCTCAAAAATATGTCTTTGTTTTTCAATCTGGTGACTTGGTTCAGTACAAATGTCGCATCCACTCCCGTGTATGTACTTACTGTAAATTTATGTATATAATTTATATACATACATTTATTAACTTATATGCTGTAACAGTTAATTTTCTACCTTGACTTGGCTATGCTATGGTATCCAGTTTTGGGTCAAGCACCTGTCTAGTTGTTGTTATAAATGTATTTTTTTATATTTTTATTTTTTATTTTTGTCTAACTTTGACTTTTTATTCAATATTTTATTGTTGTTCTATTACAGTTGTCCCAGTTTTTCCACCTTTGCTCTCCTTCACCCAGCTGCCCCCCACAGACAGTGCCCACCTTGTTGTCCATGTCCTTGGGTCATTTACACTTGTTCTTTAAGTAGGCTCTTCCCCTTCTTTACTCCCTTATTCTACCCACCCCCCTCCCTCTGGTCACTTCCAGTCTGTTCCTTGTTTTGTTTAGGTTCCTCTTGTAGGTGAGATCATGAATGTATTTTTTAGATGTAATTAACATTTAAATCAGTAGACTTTAAGAAAAGCTAATTAGTCTCTATAATGTGGATGGTTCTCATCCAATCAGTTGAAGGCCTTAAGTTAAAACAAGACCAAGGTACCCCAAAGAAGGAGTTCTGGCTTCAGGCTGCCTTTGAACTTGAACTGCAACATCAACTCTCCCTTCAGTCTCAGTAACCTGGCCTACCCTGCAAATTTCAGACTTTCTGGCCCCCACAATCAGGTGAGCCAACTCCTTAAAATCAGTCTCAGTGTATGTATTTGCATACGTGCGTGCGTGTGTGTGTGTGTGTGTGTGTATTTCCTATTGGTTCTGTTTCTGTGAAGAACCCTGACTAAATACACAAACTATAATAAAACTACATGGTCATTTCACCTCAATGGCAGTTCATACATTGGAAAATGAAAACAACTAAGTAATATACAAATTTTAATAGCAGAAATTTCAAGTTACCTGAATAGAGGCATAATTCATTTTGCAATTCAATTATGTTTAAATAATCCCTTACTCTCACTGGAAAAACAACTATTATAACTAATATCTTTATGGTGCAAAATTGTCCTCATCTGTTCTCTTCACTGGTAAGAAAATCCAGCTTCTAAATCTTGTGCTCAACAAGTTCTTTTCACAAATAGCGTCAGAATTGCCTCTTCCTATTTTGCACAGAACTTGGAGCCAAAGTGCTCAGAGCAAACAAAGGACAGAAAAACAAATAAAGGAGCCTCCTGAGGTGGGTGGGGCAGTGGAACCCCAGTTTCTCCTGGACCAGTCCACTCATGAGCTGACAGACTTTTAACCACTGAAATATAAAATTTCAGTAATTAAAGAAAGCTGATTCAAACATAAGCTGCATTATTTCCTTTATGAACAGGAAAACAAACAACTGCCAGGAGACAAGGAAAGAATCATGGCCGCTTTAGTCTCCCTTCTCTCTTTCCATCTGGAAGGAGCACTGGCAGCTCCCTCTCCTCAAGTCTCACTATTTATGTCATGAGGCCAGGACAGTGCTAAAGAATGCGGCCATCATGCAAGGCCCCACAGACCAAGACAATGGTCCATCAGTTAAGACAGGTCCTTTCACAATTAGAGAAAAAAGACTGAGATCATATACTCTATGTCAACACCCTGCAACATGATTCTGACGACATGCAGAATTACTCTCACCTAAAGTATCTGTTTTGGCCAACTAAATCCTACTTTGGGGCTAAATCCTCCCCTATCCAAGCAATGGTTCACATCCTTATAGTAAACAACACTATAAAAACAGCATGAAAACAAAACACCATGGTCTAATTACACAAAACATTCAGATGCTATTCTTGATTCATTTCCACTAGAAATGAGCTTCAAAACATTGAATTGCTCCCGACTTAACACTTACATGTATTGGACAGGCATCAATGGCAGCAATTTTCTTATTCTTAAGCATTTAAAAGCAAGAGGGTTTTCGATTCACAAGCCTCACAGGGACCCAGTTAGAGTACATAGAAACTAGGTCATGGCTGAGAACAATGGGTTGTCAAATGGAGAAAGTTCTAGGAGTTGATGCAGCAGAACCTCTAGCCTCTCTAATCCTGGAATACCTTGCACGCTCTGATGCCTGTTTTCCTTGGCAGAAGTCAAATGTAATTTTAAAACAATGATGCAAATGAAAAAGACCACAGCTTTCCTCCTCAATGTTTTATTTACCAGGCTTGCCTGCAAAACTTTCCTTTTATCTGGAAATACCTTCCAGACTGTTACTTGTAGTGATCAAATTTCCTTAAAAAGCTCTTCCTTCTCTCCTCCCATTCCATTGCAAACCTCCGCTGCCCCTTCCCCACTCCCTTCTTTCTCTAGAACATGTTTTGGAGAGATAATGACCTTTCAATAACGGTCACTTTTGATGGTATGGGCTCAAGACCTATCAGCATAGATCAGCCAAGATGAAGGCAGTTGTGTGTAAGAAAATTGTCAACTTCCATAATAAAAGTATCTATTAAAATAACTTTAAAGATCCAGATCCTCCAAGGTTGGCAGTCTCTGGGGGGGGTGGGGGGGGTGGGGGGAAATGAATAAGACTCCATGAGGGAAAAAACAGACTACAGAAGTCTGGGGGGAAAAATATTCTCCCTCAAGAGCAAGAAGCTCCTCAAAAAATTAAAAATAGCTCTGACCAATGTGGCTCAGTTGGTTGAGTGTTGTTTCACAAAGTGAAGTGTCACTGGTTGGATTCCTGGTCAGGGCACAGGCCTAGATGCCTAATTTGCAGGTTTGGTGCCCAGTCCAGATGCTTACAAGGGTCAGCCAATCAATGTTTCTCTCTTGCATCAAAATTTCTCTCTCACATCGAGGTTTCTCTCCCCCTTTCTCCCTTTCTTCTCCTCTCTAAAATCAATAACCATGTCCTTGGATGAGGATTTTTTTAAAAAAGAGGAAAAGAAGAAAGAGAAAGAAAGGAAGAAAGAAAGAAAGGAAGAAAGAAAGAAAGAAAGAAAGAAAGAAAGAAAGAAAGAAAGAAAGAAAGAAAGAAAAAGAAAGAAAGAAAGAAAGAAGAAAAGGCTTTCATTACTAAATTTTGCATCTTCTATTGAAAGTGTCCATGAATAAGTCAGCACTGCCCTCTACTGGAAGAGCTGTGTTTATTACTCAATAGTTGTGTCCAAGATTACTTAAATAGAATTTTTTCCCCTTAATTTCAATAAAAGATACATAGAAATCAGGACACCTGAGCTGTCTGGATAATCCTTCATGCCTATTGGTATGGTGAGATAAAATGTTCCTCAAAAGAAGCCTTCATTTTCTATTTTGAGATATAAATTTAAGAAACTAATTCCAATGCATTGACAAAGAGTCAGAGAG